CCCCCCAACAAAATAAAACAACAACCAGCATCAACAACAACAACAACAACAACAACATTTAAAACGAAATCTTGTCGAATCGTATGTGAATCATAATATAAGTGTGCACTGGCTATATTATCATTCCGCATTTTTATCTCTCCGCCTGGCAGAGCAAACCAAGGAAGAATGGAAGCTGAACCTGAAGGAACACCGGAGTGCCAAGCAGCAGAGAGTGCCACCTGTTGGGGCATCCAACGACCACAATGTGGACGAGTCTTCTGCCAGAGGTGGGTGCTCTGTCCGTCTGTCTGTCTGTCTGTCTGTCTGTCTGTCTGTCTGTCTGTCTGTATGTATGTCTGTCTATCTATTTATCTATCCCCCTTTCTCTTTCTATATCCATCCTTTCTGGTATATCTATCTATCTATCTATCTATCTATCTATCTATCTATCTATCTATCTATCTATCTATCTATCTATCTATTTATCTATCAATCAATTTATCTATCTATCTGTCTGTCTATCTATCTATCTGTCTGTCTATCTATCTATCTATCTATCTATCCCCCTTTCTCTTTCTATATCCATCCTTTCTGGTGTATCTATCTATCTATCTGTCTATCTATCTACCTATCTATTTATCTATTTATCTATCTATCTATCTATCTATATCCATCATTTCTGGTTTGTCTTTATCTTTGTTTATGTTTTGTCTTTATCTCCTCCCTCTCCCCTCTCCTGCTGTCTCAACTTAAGGCTGTAAAAGTTTCTTTCTTCAGTGCCCCAAAGGCTTCCACGTCACCATAACTACGACCCACATGATATCAATATCCTAATGCTATGTTCTCTTTCCCCTGCGCCCCAAAAAGCTTCGACATAAAGAAAAACAATTTCTTGAAGATGTTTACTCTTTCTCCAGTGCCATAAAGGTTTCCACACAACCGCAACCATGAACAACACGACAATATTCTTACTTAGGCTATGTTCCCTGTCTCCAGAGTCTCAAGGGCTTTTACATAACCAATGCTATATCCGAAGGCTATGATCTCTCTCTCTCTCTCTCTCTCTCTCTCTCTCTCTCTCTCTCTCTCTCTCTTTCTAGTGCAAAACCTAAAGAAAACCTTAAAGCTACGTTCTCTTTCTATTGTGTCTTACCAAAAAAATACCCTACCTTAGGTTATGTTCTCTCTCCCTAGTGCTGAGTGCCAAGAGCTATAACACAATCATAACAATATCCTAAGGCTATGTTCTCTCTCCCCAGTTATAACAACAATATAATATCCTAAGGCTATGTTCTCTCTCCCCAGTTATAACAATATCCTAAGGCTATGTTATCTCTCTCCAGTGCCGAGCGCCAAGAGCAGCATCACCAAGACCCAGCGTAAACCGGCCACGGAGGAGGTGATCGAGGAGAAGGTGGAGAAGCTGAACCTGGGCGGGGGCGCTGGTGGCGGGAACACTGGGGAGACAATCAAACTGAGCTTCCAGTCCCATCTGCAACACCAGGACGCCGATGACAAATTCCTGCCGCCTATTGCCAAATAAGTGGAAGACATCGCAGACGTGTAATAAACAGGCATAATGATTTACGTTGTATAGCGCAAACTCCCGCTCAACAGCAAGCTTTATGCGCGTTCAAAGTAGTAATAAATAGCATAATAATAATACAATTTGCATAACGCAAATTCCCGCTCAACAGCAAGCTCTACGTGCGATACAATATCTGCATTATCTGTAGTAGATTCTTGGGTCGCTTTTACAGTTGGACTCTTGGATGAATTTTATGGAAAATGTTGCAGTCCACTCAAACAGTGTTATCTAAGAAATTAGCTGAGTTTATTTTTAGTGAAAATCGAGGCACGATATATGGTAAAGGAGTATTTAAGGCGCTGCAAATAAATTCTGATCAACAACCATTGCCACATAGATGGAAGATACCTATAGCAGGTACTCCGATCGCTTTCACAGCGAGTGGGGTTATTGGGGGCATTTTTGGGAGAGTGTTGCATTTTATTCGACAATTGATTTTTTACAACTTGATGCAGCCCATGATGAAAATCAAAGTATCATTGAAAACGAGTTACCACAACACTAAAGATACATTCTTGCCATCTGATGCCGGATATGTTGATGAAAACTCTTACACATCCTATCAAAACATATGTTTCTTTGTACATGTTTTACATCACAATTTAGATTCTAATTTAGGATACGCGTTCTGACCCGTCTGCCCGAGCCAACCCTGAATGAGAGCGATACCTCGTCCTAGCAGGAAGACCGAGACGCTCAATGAGATTAGATTTCTCCCCACAACGGAACTGAGCTCGGGTCTTTTTGCGCGCAACTGCGAAGTGCATACTCTTTAGTAGATGCTTAGGCTCATTTTATGATGGAATTATTGGAAGAACTTCCTGGAAAAGGCTGCATTCCACGGGAAGAGTGTATTTCCCAATATTGGTAAGTTTATAAATGATGATGAAAATCGAAGTTTCTTGTAAACGGGTTTAGAAATAGGATTGCTAGTAATCACAAGATTATAAGATGAATTATTGTTCAAAACCCAGTCCTATTAACGAAGACGAAGATGGAAGGGCACGTTTGAACATTCTCTAGTACTACTTGGAACATAATACTTTGGTTGCTTTTACACGAACTTGTCAACCTGCATTGCTGTTGTTGAATTCTTTTAAAAAAGATGATGATATAGACGCTAATTAACATTAACTTTTGTGATCACAGAGATTAGATAAGAGACTGACGTGGCCTCAGCTATGTTTACCTTTTAGAAAGATTGACGTCATTAATTCTTCAAGGACGTTTTCGGTGGATAAGCAGCAGACATTTTTTAAAAAATTGGGGACGTATTTCGAACCATGATTAACGCACCACATTCTTCAATTTGCACATATTATTGTTTCATAGTAGGCTCTTTGCGTTTTGCTGCCTGCTTTTTCAGATTTAGTTAATTAAAAGAAACAAAATTGGAATTTCTGGATTAACAAAACTCTCCCCCAAAATGTGTCTTCAAGCATTGTTGACTTACCATAATTGCAGTCCTTACTGAGTTAATGTGTTAATTTTATGCACTCATAAAGAATAAAAGACGCAGACATCGTTGTCTCCGCATAATTAGGATTAACTATTGCACAAGACAAGGACAGGCATTCCTCTACACCGTTTAGGATGCAAGATTTGGCATGGTAGTCATAATAACATGAATTAACAAAACTAACAGTAATAGATAAAATGACCTGCGAATACTTTTGCATGAGTTTTTTTTTTACGAATACCAATATAGTTGGGAAACTGCAACAGGAAAATAATTGTAAGATTACTTTTCCTTAGAGAATTTTGTTTTAAACAAAATAATATCGTAGACTATGCGACCAGGACGATAAGTTCAGTGTAGTGAATTCATGCTATGATTGTAATGTTTGAGGCTGATTGTGAACTTTACTTAACAAAGGTGAAGATACAATCGTCACTGCGATAGTAAAATGGCTTAGCTCATTTTTACTAGTTTTGAGATAAATGAAAAAACAAAACAAAAACAAAAAACAAAACAAAAACAAAAAACAAAGAAAAATACAACCGTTTTACTAGACTATTTATCATCCTATAATTGTAAAAGTTGCCTTGCATATTTCTTTTGTAAGTGCCAGCTTAGGGAATTTTTGTTTTGGCTTATTAACATAATATATATTTTAACACCAAACAAAATAAAAAGTCTAGTTACATTTTGGCACAAATTAAGCCATTTTGCTAGCGCAGTGACGCCATTTCGTTTCTTATTGTACAACTGTAGGACAGAAGAGGGAAAACAAGGGGTGCTACTTTTTGAGACTTTGAGAAAAAACAAAAATGAAAAGCTTGACAGTCCCCATTTTTTTTCTCCATTGTATAACTTATTTCCCAAAATCTGATACTGGGCGACTCATCAGGTTTAAGCCCTGGTGGGCACTTAGATGTTGCAGAAACATTTTCCAGCCCATGCTACAACTCAAATTATAATCCCAAAACTGGTATCCCTTGGGGTTTTTTTTTTCTTTGTACCCTTCAACTACACTATGTATGATCATGTCTGAAGGGGTGAGCTCACAGCGTAACTTTGTCGAAGAATTATAGGACATAAAGTTTTGTCATTCAACAACAATTCCCTCTCCCCAGTTGTCAATTTACGTTGGTGTGGATACCTTGGCAACGTGCTGATATTTTGAAGTAGAGGATGAAGGTAGGGAGGTGGTAGGGATGAATATAGGGAGGTGGTAGGGGAGAGGCTAGGTAAGAGGGTTGGGGTGGGAGTAGGGATCAGGTGTAAGGCTGGGGCGAGGGAGGGCGGGTGATTGTTATTTTCTTTATGTGTGTAGGAGGGGGAGGGTGGATGTGGGAAGGAGTTTGGGTTAAGACTGGTTGGGAATTTATTTGCTGTTAGTGAGTGCATGAGGTTAGTTGTGTAAGAATTAAAAGAATGTATGTTTGCCCTTGTGTGAACATGTATGTACATGTTTTGTGTGTGTGTGTGTGTGTGTG